GAAGAGAGAAGAGGAAAGGAAAAAAAAGGGAGGCAAGGAAGGAAGGATGAAAGGGTAGAAGGGAAGGATGGAAGATAGAACGGGAAGGAGGAAGGAACATACAAAATTACCTCACAACACAAATAGGGTGGCATCCAGTGGTATTAATACCAAAGCCTTTTACAAATCGGTGGCTCCTCTCTCCTAAACCTAAGCACCTCTTCGCAATTTGGTGGCGGCTCTTCGCAAATTGGCGGTTCTTTACATGGGCACTCCCTAGTTTTATAGAGCATTCAACATACCTCAAGAGCATCATTAACAGCTTCCACTTTATCTGGTAAATTTTCAGTGCATTTCATTTTCTCCTCCAAAGTATTGAGCCAGGCTGTTTCCAGATCCAAGTAGTGTAATAGTTCAATCCAGCATGACCAGACTTCCTGAAGGAGAAAGTTAGGAGGAGGATATTATATTGTATTTCAGAAATAAAATAGAGTTGTTCCTCAAATTGCAAGTCCATTCTACTCTATGATCCCTTGGCCCTCTGCCCCAGTCTCCTCATCCATTCTAGCACTTTCCCACTTGTTACAGCCCCCCTCACCTTGGTTCTTGGTCTGTGGTCATACCATAATACACATGCCATTAAACAATATTTCATGACTATATGTTCTCTACATGATTGTTATTATTTTGGCTTCCCAAGTAAAAACGTAGAAGCACATTTTTTCATTTCCCTTCATCCAAGCTACAAACAACAAGGAAATCTCCATATCAAGTCTCAGTTTGAAGCTGACTTAATATGGCTGGTTCCACACCTGATAAATATTCAATCTAGATGGAATGGGAACATGTTACAAAAATTATATTATATTTCTACACTAACGTAATATGGTAAAAGTATGTGCATGTGCATGAAATATTTGTTTATTTACATATTCATGAAATTGGTTGCGAGGGAGGTGCAATCTGAAATGATTTGGTGCAAAAGAGGAAGAATGATTTACTGGAACTGAGGTTTGTGGGGAATAGATTGTGAGAGATATATTGATATAGATATATATTAGGGTCATGAATTTTTGTATGGCTAGTACTTAAATTTGTAGTTTAATAAGGATGAAAAAAGATAACTGTAACTAAAGATGTATTAAATGCTTAAAATATGTGTGTGCGCGCGCACAAACACACACACACATATCACAATCATAGTGGCCAATGTGGTGATGTGGTTTGACCACTGGACTATGGTTCTAGAGACCAGTAAATTGGAAACAACTGAAAGGCACACAAGAAATATGCCATAAGTAGCTCCATTCCTTACACTCTGACAATAAAGCAAACAAGGTCTCATAAAGATCACTGTACTTGGAAGTACTTGGAAAGGTATGTGAAGATATTTGCATTTCCAGTGCATGCTGCAAAACATCATTTAAAGCAGCCATCAGAGTTGGGGTAACTATAGTAATCAAGTCTACCAAATATTTGCAGACATGCTTGTAACCACAATTGCACCCAGTCCTACAGATATTATAACCACTCTAGACACAATAGCCTAAAGCTAAGGCAAGGCCTAGTTTTCTATAATTATTTGGTTTCCAGTTATATGTTAGCATCGCTTGTTGCCCAACAGGTCATCAAGAGATGGATCATTCCCACTAATACTGTAACCACATATATGAATTTATTTTGTACCATATCAGTGATGGAGAATACTAACAGTTCCTTTATAGCAATATAAAAGAGATGAGAAGAAATTAAATAATAAATTGTTTGTGACATTCTTACTTTAAAAAGTATATCAATATTAATGCTCTTAAAGATCTAACATGATTTAATTATCTAGCTGTTGTTGTGCATCTTTAGGTCATTTTTTACTTAGGCAACTCTAAGGCAACCCTATCATGGAAACCACATCGAATAATTTTTTTCAGAGGGAGTTTGCTATTGCCTTTCTCTGAGGCTGAGAGAGAAATATAATTTGGTTAAGGTCACCCAGTGGCTTTCCATGGCTGAGTGGGAATTCAAACTCCAGTCTCCAAGAGTTCAAGTCCAATACTCAAACTCCCACATCACACTGGACTTACTAATCCCCTCTTTAAGACTTTTAAAATGCAAGCGTGAAAACCATGTTGTAAATAGTAAACACACCAATAAATCAAGTGATAAAGTTTTAACATTAAAGAAATAGCCTTGGGTTTGAAACTCCCAAGGTGCAAAAAGAAATACAAGGGGGAGAGCTACACTGTGGACCATACCTCCAAAGTGTGGCATTTCCCTCGAATCCGATTACAAAGTAGCTGGTAATTCTCCAGTACAAGGTTAAGCTCCGTTGTTATGTCCTGGCCACCAGATGGCAGTTTAGCAGCTAACATCTTGATGTTGTCTTTCAGAATTTTCACCCGCACTTCCTTCTGCAGCACATCTTCTTTTGCTCTCTGCTCAAAGAAAATGAATACAGGCCAAACTAGACTTAATTCCAAGGCTTTGAACTTTATTAAACAAATGGTGGGGATCATGAAGCCAGTTTAGGTGTTCCTAGAATTACAAGCATTCTCCACCATCAGATATGCTGGTTGAAGCTAATGGGAGTTGCAGTGTTATGACATATGGACTATCTCATTTTATTCTCCTGATTCTCCTGATAAACCAAACTACTTCCAACTAGATTACACTGACAAAATAAATTTCCAAATCCCATATCAACACCTATGTAAAACCCATTTATATTGTAGATCTACTCTAGTTGGGGTTAGCAACTGGATTTAGGTCATTGTGATGCAAATTAAACTAATACACAGATTTAATCAAAAACTGACTTTTTTCTGAGTCTCTTTACTTAAGAACAACGCTTCATCCATTGTACCAACTGGCACTTAATTTAGGCTGCTTTCCGAGTCCTTAAAAATAAATTTTCTCTCTAACCAAGGAATTTGCACACTCCAATTTCAGTGCTAATTTCATTTTATAATCCAAATAATGACTTGTAAAATGTCATTATTTCTGGAAACAGCTGTCATAAATTACAATTTACCAAACAAGGAATCTTGTAGCAAAGACTATTCTGACAGGATGATGGGGCCTGTATTCTAACATATCTGAAAAGTGCCAAGTTGGGAGAAGCTGGACTAATCTACTTCTCCGCTTGTTTTTTTAAAAAAGAAATAACACCCAAAACTGTCCACAGAAGTCCTGCCATTAACAAGAGATAGGTTATTTCTTTTGCACACAGAATACTTCACATGAAATGGGTATGTTACATTTGTCCTCTGACTCACACCTTACTTCCAGTTCCCTCACTGTGCCAAATTGCTACTATTACAATGACATTTTTATATTTGACAGTCCAGGCGACATCAACAGGCGTGATAGTTGATGGGTAAGGAAACAGCATGATAGCCTGTATACACCAATTTCAGTTCAGGTGCAAAATTCCCTAAATGGCAATTCAGCTCTGCAGTTTGTAAATGTATCCACACTACTTTCAAACCTCAACCTTCCTAGGTTCCAGAGTATAAGCAAGATTTATAATTTATCTTCTAGGTCCTGTTTATTGCTTAGCAGTAGGCTGAATCCATCTTACCAAAATAGCACCCACCTTTCAAATGGGTAGCTACTCTGTTGTTGCTGGACTTCTGTACCTTCAAGTAATCTTTGACTTATGAAGACATAAAGCTGAACTATCAAATAATTTGTTCATTGTGTGTGGTGGGGGAGTGGGCTTCCATGGCTGAATTCAAGCCCTGGTTTTCCTGTGTCCTAGTCCACCACTTAAAGCATTATACTACTCTTTGACCTCATTCAAATTTCAGTAGGAATCTAAAAGTCTCATTCCTTTCTACACTGAAAGATTTGGATGTAATTAAATATACAAAAGCTTTTTTCCCTCCTCAGAGGCTTTTCCCCCTTGAAATCATTTTGCTTTTCCCCTTTTCTCATATTTCCAAGGACAATTAAGATGGGTAGTCTGATTACTATGCTAATCTGAATATAACATTTAAAAACCCTGCATTCTAAATCTGTTCCGAGTCCTTTTCCGAAAAGTAATTTCATGTTAAAAAACAGATAGTCACCCAAGTTCAGTGACTACATAAAATCCATCATGCTTTTCTAGTATTTCTGACCTTCATTTCCTCCACAGCATTCTCCAGCTCATCTGGACTCTTGTATTCAAAATCCCTCTCCAAATATTCTTCTTCAGCCTGAGCCATCCATTCTTGCATCTCTGCCAAATCCTTTTTGAGGTTTACGGCTTTTTCTTGACTCTCAGATAATTGATTTTTCTGACTAATGATCTAGGAATTCGACCAAAAAGCATAAAGAATATATAGTATTGTTCAAAGCTGCCTGAATCACTTACAGAGTATCTTAGCACTGAATATCAGAGTGCTAAAAGTTTCAATAGGTTACTTTTTAGGTAATAATTTCATTCAATATTTTAAATAAAGGCAGAACATATCTAGGAAGTACTGTTCCTATGGTTACAAAGTAAGATCTTTCATTATGGGTTACTGGAGCTAGCAGATGTAATTGAATATTATTTCTGCTAATTCTTAGCAGGGCAGTGTGCATTATGGTTGTAAACGGGAACAACTCCATAGTAACATAGCACTGGGAAATGGACCACTCAAACTTTATGTGACTGGCAAAGAGCCAACAACTTGGATTTCTGTTCCAGGTTTTTAGAGTATGGTTGTTTCATGAAAAAAATAACATGGATTGCTAGCAGTATCAAGTGCACAGTAAATGCATAAAAAGCTTCAGTTCATATAGTATCTTCTTCCAAACTGAATGTGTACCCACATTTCAGTCCTGAATGTAGTCCTAAAACAGTGGTTTTCAACCTGTGAGTCCCCAGATGTTTTGGACCTCAACTGTCAGAAATCCTAACAGCTGGATTTCTAGGAGTTGCAGGCCAAAACACCTGAGGACCCCCAGATTGAGAACCACTGTCCTAGAGGGAAAGACACCAAATGCAAACAGAAAGGACTGACCTTTTAAGAAAGGCTTATTTAAAAAAAAAGAAGAATACAAAAATAAAGAATTAAATGTCATGTTATTTGGGCATAGTTCAGATTGGCCCAGATTTTTACTACAGCAAAAATGTAAACAAGCACTTGCTTGACAAAAATGGCAGACCTAAATTCCTCCTTTTACTCATCAAACCTCATATAGCATAAATAATTACATACCATACTGATAAGATCAATGAGGTTACAGCTTAGTTCCTGACAATTCCATAAAGGGATCTCCTTTGGAAAAGGACAAATGATTTTGGCCTCCCTTTGTTCAGTCTTTACTGTATAATATTTAGCACATGGCTATTTACAGTTATTTTCTTGTTTAGCTTCAACTGGAGTAGACTTCGACAAAACCAAGTTGGACAGCAAGGTGGCATCTACTAAAGGGTTATCTAAATAACTGCATATTAAATTAAATAGTGCTCTACAAAATGGTTGAAACTATTTGAAAGTCAAGAGCCTTGTCACAGTAATATAAAATCAGTTTTGCTTGTGCTTTTTGAGTATTTCTAAAAAAAGAACAAGTAGTTTGTATACATATTGGAAACAAAAACAACTATGGGTTTAATCCAATGGCATCCTTGGAGAAGTCTGCTAGGGAGTGGAATGTTATTCCTTACTTCAGCCTTTCTCCTCCTCTTCCTCCATGAAGCCCAAGGGAGTTTCCAAGCCCATCAAAACATTTTACGGGTGCAAAGGGAGGTGCGTTCCCCCATCCATTTCAATAAGTGAAATCAATTGCATTCAGCTCTTTGAAACCTATTGCTATCTGGCTGCCAAGCTCTACTCGTGCAATGTACAGAACAGAAATATATACTCCTATGAATACAGAATGACAGATAAGATAATGCAAATAAAGAGTAATGCTATCAATAACTAACCTGCTTGCTCAGTTTCTCCCACTGTAATTGGACATCTGCCAGCTTAGATTTCACCCAGGCACTGACAGGCTGGTCTCTTAAAGCAGAGTCTATTTCTTTCATCTCTTTTAAAGACAACTCAGTCTTTTCCATTTCAATAATAAACAACTGACCATAAAAACACGAGAGAAAACAGAGCTTCTTTCAGAACACTGCTTATTTTGAAAACATTACACAGATACATCTAAGAGTCATCCTTCATCATTTCTGAACTTTTTCATAAACAAAATTATTTAAAGTTAACAAACACATAATTGCATGTTCTATTTAAACACATAGCAGTTCCAATTCAGAGAATATTTTCCAGCTGTGTAAGGTCTCGTACACAACAATTCTGGGTTTTTTTTTCTACCCACTGCTGCCTACATACAAATATTACATTATAAACTCTATTTGAGATGCTCATCTTGCAACTTAGTTTGTCCTGTGTTATAGAAGAGCATGCTAAGTTCAGTTATCTGGATTTTGGCCTATATTTCATCAATGAAGTAAAAGGAAAAAAAGAAAACTATACAGGTAGGTTTGTTATGTTAACAGGTGGAAATATGTTTGCCAATCATGACCCTGCTATTGAATCAGACTTTTTCCTTTACTAAGCTCTGGATACTCAAGCCCAAAGTGCCCTATGTGGCTCAACTGGCTAAAGAATAAGTCAAAAGGAAAACTTTGTAAATCCTCAAGGTACTACAATACTTTATAAATGTGGAGATCCACTTCTTTACCATCTCTCCTCCAACAATTTCAGTCTAATTTTAAAGATGTGAATAAGATTTTAAGAATTGTGATTATGTGAAGTGTGCTACGTCTTGTTTATTGAAGTTGTTTTATAATTTATTGAGTTGTTTTTTAATTTGTTTGTAAATTACTGTGAGCATTTAATGTTTGCCACTGTGTGAGCCACCCTGACTCCCCTCGTGGACATAGGGCAGGCTATAAAGAAAGTTCATTATTACTGTTTTCATTCATTCATTATTACTGCTTTTTGTCTTCAAGATTCCACTTAACCTGCATGGGCAACATGGAGATTCTTCAAGGTGTTAATTATATTTAAAAGGATGACCTCTTTAGTTACATAACATGCTCTGTTAAACACTTAGAGATGGCTGCAGAGTAGGCAAAAGGAGAATATGCAGTATTATACAATCAGCTCTCCATATCCATGGATTCAACTATACATGGATTCTATTATCCACAGCTTGATATACTCAAAACAGCAAGCCTTGATGTTGCTTTTTTATATAATGCATGCAATCCACAGATTGTGCTATCAACATGAGTTCTGGAACCAAATTTCCAGAAAATACTAAGTACCCCACAGGACTTACCATGCATTGGTCAAGCTGTTTTTGAAGGCTTTCAGGATCCCTTTGGACAGCCTGTTCTTTTATTAAAAAGTCTTTCACACCATCCAACCACTTTTGAACCAATTTTGAATCAGTCTGAAACAAAAAAGCAGAGAAATATTATTAATGGTGATGGATGAACCATAACTATCAAAGCAGAACAAGCAATACATACAATACTGGTTTCTATTTGCATGTGTGTCTATTTTATGTGAATAAAAGTTGACTAACAACACTATTAAAATCTATATAAAGCCAACTATCAAAGAATTTTATACACACTAATAGATGAGAAATTAAAACCATAGGGAATCTGAGTGGGGAAGCTATTGACGCTTGACAAGGAAAAGAAGGTTTCAATGTAGGTTTCAATAGACAATCAAATTTCCTAAAGCATAGATTAAATTTTATGCAGTTTGTCTCTATGATCTGATCTGAAAGTATACATATTACCCTATTATTAACAGAGCATGGTACAACAACAAAAAGAGAAATCTCATCCAAAAAAAAATTATATGAAGAAAGTAACAAATGGAAAAGAGGAAAACAAATTATATAGAAAGCAGCCACTGAATATACATTCCATTTAGTGAAACATTTAGTAAGACATACATCCAAAGAATGCAGACAAAGGAAGTATTTCAAATACTGCAAAGAAAATCTATGTTTTAAGGTCTTGAGAAAAGGGGAAATGTTTGAATGAAGTATGGAAGAATCCAGAGAAAGATGGATTACTTTGGTAGAAAGGACATATAGAGGCAGTGAAAACAGGAAATAAAATTAGAATGAGCTAAAAAATTTAAAAAGAGGCAAAATATGCACTTCATAATATGACAACTACTTTAAGTATATTAAATTATCTGACGGTCTGGTGATCCAGCATATATAAAGAATACACAACTTCGTGTTGAAGGAAAAAGAGAGGTTGAAAAATTTTGGACAAAAGGGAGAAGTTGTCAATTGATAAGCAGAAAACATGAGGACAGTGCAGCATGTAAGACAAATAAACATGTTCTTAAACACATGAGTATACAGGTACTAATACATTTAAGTCAGAAATTGGTAAAGTGTGAACCATAGCTCCAAGGCTCCCCAGAGGTCAAAATGTTAAGAATGTCCTTTAGAGCATGGTTTCTTAAACTTATTCCACTTTTAGGGAGCTTGTTTTATGCTGCCCTGGAGACTAGGACGTGGAACAATGACTTCAAACTACAAGAAAGGAGATTCCATATGAACATTAGGAAGAACTTCCTGACTGTGAGAGCTGTTCAGCAGTGGAACTTTCTGCCCTGGAGTGTGGTGGAGGCTCCTTCTTTGGAAGCTTTGAAACAGAGGCTGGATGGCCATCTGTCAGGGGTGCTTCCATGTTCCCTAGAACACATTTGGAGGCCAAAATATTTTTTGACAGATTTGGGTGCATTGGAGAAAAGAATTACAGCCATCCAAGTTCTCTTTGAGGACCTGGGCAGCTCTCTGGCTTTCTAGTTGCTATTACCAAACTAAATAGAAATGCTATTTAAATCATTGGACAACAGTTTACAGGGCAAGTGCTACTAAGGCATCAACCCCCAGATGCTTCAGCTATCATGGCTTATTGTGAGGGATCCCAGGAGCTGTAATCCACATTTGGATCCTCCCTGGTTGTGAATCACAGCTGTAGTTTAAATCAGCCCAAAGGGTTGAAAAAAACAGGTACGGGTGAGCATCATCAGCATCATACACAGACCCGAAATGCATAGGGTTTGTGGAGATAAATGAGGGACAGTTAAGTTTTTAAAAAAGAGCAAAACATTGTCAAGGAATCCCAAGGGTGGATATAAAAGAGAATTCTGAATTTCTTCCAATGAGAAATTCTGGATGATGAATTATATGGGAAAGAAAAGAACCAGCTGAGTCATTGGGTTTAAGATGTGGAAGCAATCAATCAGTAGTAGCTGATTAATTATTTCAAATTCATCAGAGAAAGAATGAAAACATACGAGAGACCTTTGATTTCTGAAGAATGGGGTTTAAAATTAAACTCTATTCTATTTTAGGTCTGGCATATGATATGGCTTCAATGGTTTCAAAATTATTACTGACAGAATCTAAGTGACACTTTTTTACTTGAATTCTTTACTGATTATAGAAACATGCTTTCCTAAAGGGCATATGTTCTGGCTGCTCAAAGTCCCTATTGTACTTATTTGTATCGAAATACAGAGGAGCAATTTATGTCCAGATTCTTGACATTTTTTTTGTTCTACCTCCAGTTTCTGGAATGTTTTCAGCTGACTTGTACAGATTATGAAAAGGTTCCAAACCAGCCTGAACATATAATAGTCTCAAACAGATTTGCCACACACTGAAAGGGAAACACTTTGGTCTGAAGAGCTGAGCTGTTAAGATTCTTCAGTTGGAACAGTCTATTTATACATACAATATTGACACAGAGATATATATATACACACACACACAAATACATATACATACACAGAAGCTGCTTGCCCAATATTTATAAAGCTCTTCAAACAGTAATAACAGAACCAAATACTCTTTGAGTCCTTTGCTGCCATCTTGAGTTCTATTATCTCTCCTCCCTCCAACAATAATCATATTTTTTGCTTTTGGTTCACTGTATCTAAACATACCACCACTCATAATATTGCTCTTCTACTATCTCTGAATGTATACCATACATTCCTATTAATACCAGTTTATTTATTCATTCATTTTCCAGGTTTTCTCCCAACATGGGATTTAAGACAGGTAACAATAGAAATTAAAGCCAGCTACAGTTAAAACAACAGGTAACATAAAAATTTAAATAGCTTAAATAAACAACCATATTTTAAAAATTAAGTAGAAAATAGTTTACAAGACAGTTAAAAATAATAATGATGTTTAAAATGCATCACCCACTCAATTAAAACCCTTTCTGCAATGGTCAGTTAATGTCAAAAGTCTTTAACCCAGTGGTTCTCAAAAGTTAGGGGGTGTTGGCATTTCATTTCTAAAGGGTTTCTAAAGCAGTTCTCAACCTGTGGGTCCCCAGATATTTTGGCCTTCAACTCCCAGAAATCCTAACAGCTGGTAAACTGGCAGGGATTTCTGGGAGTTGTAGGCCAAAACACCTGGGGACACACAGGTTGAGAACCATGGCTTTAACCTCTTCAGTGAAACTACTCATCTTGGAAGCTAATCAAGACCAGCTCTGGTTAATACTTGGATGAGATACCACCAATGAATACAGGCAGTCCCCAAATTACAATCCAGGGTTTGTTCTTAAGTTGAATTTGTATGTTAAGTTGGAACAGGTACATTTTTTATCTGTAGCTTTGAATAGCATAGGGATGGGTGAATACCCCTGTAGTGTTTCTTTTGCTATCGGTGCCCCCATTTAGAAGATTTCACTCACTTTCTGTCCCTGTGAGAACTAGATTTTGAAAAAAAAATGGCTTGTTGTGGAAACAAAAATTGGTGCTAAAGCTTCTGTGGAGACCCCTTTCCCCCACGATAGGAGTAAATTTCCCTTCCAAGGGGTAGATTTCTCTCTCTTCCTGTTGTCTTACCCCCGTTCTTAACAATGAGTCATTTGGGAGTTGGGTGTTTGTAACTTGAGGACTGCCTGTACATTATTTTTCAGTGGAAAGAACTGGCAAAACTACCTCTTGAGTATTTTTGCTTAAGAAACCCTATAAAATTAAGAGGGTCACCATTAGGTGACAGACAATTTGAAGTCACATACACCCACGTATCTTTAGTTTTCATACTCATCGATCTCTCTGCTCCCTTTGATACTACTTGAATTTTATATTTATATCACAGATATCACCATCACCCATCCAGTTGACTAAGCATGCAGCCTTGATTTTATCCTCCCTGCCCATTCCTCTCAAATTCAATCTGCTGCTAGGTCATAATCAGTATATCATTACAACATTGTGGAAAAATATAAAGCATTCTTTATAGCTCAGTCTAATATATTCTTCAGCTGGCTCATTACTATGTGACACTATAACAAACACCGTGTTCATAATTGTTTAAGAGAAAACAACATTAAATCATCTGAAATAAATATTTTAAGTTTAAGCTAATAAACTGAACTCCACTTCTTCAATTAAATGACAGTTGGAAACAAGTAGACAACACGTTGCAATACAACAAGATAAATGCATCTAAAGACGTAAGCTAAATTGAGAATACCGAGCTTAATCTGTTTAGATGTTAAATAGTAATATTTCACTTGAATAAAAAAATACATGGATTAAAAACCTCAGAGACAAGCTCACAGTTTTTACTCCTAAGGATCTTGTTTGTACTGTGATGGCCCAAGAAGACTGCACTGTTGTTTTCCTTCCAATGTAGCATGACAGAAGATGACAACCATATACTAGGGCTGGGCGGTTTCGTTCGTTAATTTCGTAATTCGTTATTAATTCGTTATTTTTTTTGATAACAAAGCGATATTGAACCATTCAGGAGCAACTAAAAAACGAAACGAATTTTTCCAATTCGTTTCGTATTTGTTTCGTAATTGTTTCGAAATTGTTTCGTAATTGTTTCGTAATTGTTTCGTTATTATTTCCGTATGTCTGGTGCAAGTTTTATAGTCGTTTGTTTTATCAGTGATAAAAAAATAAATTAGCACACCAACAGTCAACAACAGAGGGAGAGGGAAGCTTCAGAAGTTCCCCCTGTCCCATTTGGAGGGTTTTTTAGCGTATTGCGCAATCGCGTCCGCCATTAACGAATCGATTCGTTATTGTTTCGAAATTGTTTCGTAATTTCCGAAATTTCGTAAATATCGAACTTTTTAAAAGAAAAATTTCGAAATTCTTTTAAATAACGAAACGCAAAAACCCCCTAAAAACGAATCGAATTTAGAAACAAATTTTTCCGTGGTTGGACAGCCCTACCATATACTGCATGTACCTATACAGAAGTCTAGACAATATTATCAAAGAATCAACCAAAAAAACCTGGGTTAATTTATTCTGGGTCAGTGTAAGTACTTGTACTGTACTTTAACTCTTATCAAGAAATGAACCACTCCCTTCTCTAAATAGCACAGTGACACTGCTTCTGGCCTTTTTAAATGACTGGGTGGGAAAATGCCAGCAGTGGACAAGGTCAAATGACCCCCTGAGGCATCATGGACACTTTCCCCTCTCCAAAGAATGACTCTCAATCTATGTGTTGTACATTACATATCAAAATCCTTAATTTTGGTCCCAAAACCTGCCTTGACTTATATATGAGATCAACTTATACACAAGTATATATGGTAGATACCATATCATTACATTAAGATCACATCTACAGCGATACACCTAACTTCTGGTTACAGAACATGAGCAAATTTGGGAACAGGGGAGCGCATACTTATCAAAGGGTGATAAACAAATACCTATTTGCTTACCTGAAATACTCTCAGCTTGGAAATAATTTCTTCCAATAGGTGAACATCTTTAGAAATTTTAATTTTCAATTTATCTCTATACCCCTGCAATCGTTTGAACTCTTGCTTGTAGAGATTTGATTTTTCAGCAGGAATATGCTTCTCTAAGCCTTGAGTGTCCGCTGCAAGTTTATCTACCATTCTTTTTTGATTTTCTAGAGTTTCACAAACTGTCTGTAGAGAAAGGATCAAAGAAGAAAACAATTATTTCATTTTTGTCACTCTCCTGGATTATGGTATAGAATAACTTTAATTAAACACGCTACAATTAAAGCATATCGTATCACAGAAAGGGGGAGTATGCTAGTCCTGCCTCCTTTAGGAATTGTAATTGTTCTCTGTATACTGAGTGAACTTTCTGAATAGGGCAGCTCCATCTATAAATGGATGATCTTCCCTCGTTCAAGAACACTAGAAAATGATACAAAGATTCTTATAACAGCAAAAGAGCACAAATATCCACCAGCATAACCATGCCAGTGGCCTAGAAAGTCAAATGTTACACATTCATTCCATCTGCAAAAGTTCAGCTGCTGCAGCACTGTGGTCAATTAGTAGTTGGGAGGAGCAGCTATACCTAGGATTCTCCAGCTGCTCTTGCACACTTGGAAAAAAGTGCACTGTTTAAGGAGGTATTGGACATTTCCTTCTGCAATGCCTAACTCAATATTTACAGCACTCACTAGTGGTTATAACAGCATAAATCACCATCAGAGTTCTGTCCTCAATGTTATGGATCACACAGGAGGCTTTTTGCTTCCAAAACCTACTTCTCACATGAGAAAATACGTAAGAACTCAATCAAAATTATTTTCACAGCACAGTGATGTACAGTGATGTTACAGATGCAATGACATGAAAAAGCATGCATCAAGAGTTAGAAAGTAAGGAATTACAAATAGAATAATAGGCAACTCTTGAAGGTAATGAGGCCATAACAATGTTATTTTCATGCAGTAATGTAATGAACAGTCATTTGTAGTGTAACCACTGACACTTCTAAAACGCTGATGTTCTGGGGCGATGGGAATTTGGGGTCATTTTAAATACATTTTGGTCAAAAGAAATACCAATTAGTCACAGTTGCAGCAATAATGACTAATGTTAATATTTTTTAAAGATTCCAAGCTCTGTTATGACTGCATAACTTCAGCTGAATTTATATTTGCTAAAAACACCAACTGAAAACTTACCTTCATCTCTTGCAATGCTTTTTCAACTTTATTGAAATCATTCACTGTTTTCATGATGGATTGTACCTTGCTTTCCAATTCATTCAGCTCATCCTTCAGTTTTTTCAAAGCATCCAAATAATCTTTGGAAGGTTGACTTTCAAATTCTAATTTTGAAATAAAAAAAAATTAAACCAACTGAATAACTTCCTTAATTTGCTATAAAATAGCAAAGTTTATGACTTCAAAACAAATACAAAGCAAGAACATCCTGGTTTTTGTTTGTGTAATTTAAAATAAAAAAACATTCTGAGTGCATTGTTGTGATTGTCCTAAATATCCAGGTGTTCATTGCATGGAAACTATACTATACTGCAAATGCTAGAAGTGCTAGCACTTGAACATGGAAGCTAGACAAGTGAGGTATTAATCACTGAAGTTACTTTCACAATAATTTTGGATATGAATTAAGAAGTGCTGGTGGAAAGGGCTTTTTAAGTGACATTGAAAACTTCTGTGAACAAAGCTTTAGTCAATAAACCATTTCGTTTAAGCAAAGACTGGAATTTTGTGCTTCCTGATTAAGAAAATGAAAAGGAGACACATTTTTTACAAAATTATTCATGTAATATAGTTTTCTTCATCTCTCACAAACTCAGTCTTCTGGTGAAAAAGATAGGTAGCATAGTTACAGTTTTCAAAGAAATTACTCTACACTATAACAAGTGAAAATCTTTGCCACAGGGTTTGATAAATCAGCACAACATAGGAAGACTCCCATGTTTGGGTGTCCAAGGATGCTTCCACCCCGGTTGGGGGCATGGCTTCTGCCAGAAGTCACACAACGTCGTGTGATGGCTGGCATGGGGCTCCATCCCTGAAGAAGGCTTGAAGCATCCTAGGATGCTTTATTTTGGTAAGCGTGTTGAGCTGCTAAATCAAAATAGCAATCAATGAGAAATCCTAACTAGGACATTCTCAATTGAATGAATGGGGGTTGGCTAAGCAAATACTTACATAAACTCCATTTTATGAGTAGATCTACTTTATTTAGGACTAGCAACTGGATAAAGGCCAAATAATCCCCATGTTCCGTGACTACCAGAAACAGACAAACAGACAAACAAAGCAGAGGAAGTGTAAAAAGGTAAAGGTAGTCCCCTGACATTAAGTCCAGTCATGCCTGACTCTGGGGTGTGGTGCTCATCTCCATTTCTAAGCCGAAGAGCCAGCGTTGTCCGTAGACACCTCCAAGGTCATGTGGCCGGCATGACTGCATGGAGCGCCGTTACCTTCCCGCCGGAGCGATACCTATTGATCTACTCACATTTGCATGTTTTCGAACTGCTAGGTTGGCAGAAGCTAGGGCTGACAGCAGTAGCTCACGCCGCTCCCCGGAATCGAACCTGTGACCTTTCGATCAACAAGCTCAGCAGCTCAGTGCTTTAACCCACTGCGCCACCGGGGGCAGTGTATAGCTCTCTAAATCTTGGTATGCATCTGGTTACCCATGGTGAGAAACCAGATGCTGAATAAGATTAATATTTTGGTATAAGCCAGCCCACATGGTTCTTCTCATCTTCTTAAACATACAAGTCCAAGAAGTGTACCAAAAGAGGAAATTAGAGTTCCCTTTCTTATTACTATTAGAATGAGCTCAGATAACATTCTTAGCATACCACTGAGACACTGACAACCTTTCAGTCTCCTATCAACTGCACCTTAATCATATCAACTATTGATGGAATCCTATTGATTCTGGCCACTGATGAATTCCTTCTACTAGCAGATCAAACTTCCCTTTCCCATCCTCAAATTTACTCTGTAGGTCTGGGACACCTGAAGGAGGAGATCTGTGGTCATGCAGGGACTGCAGGAAGAAGAGAAAGTAAAGGTCCTCTGCATAAGCAGAAGCCAACTCAAGCAATGTTAAATGTAGTCCCCTATTTAGTCTATTTTTAGTCATACATTTTACAGTAAAAAAAATCTATCCACATTTTATTCTTTAATATGATTCGTAGCTTTAAGTAATACATTTATTTTTGACCATGTGACTTTGTGCTGTTCCTTTTATTTTAATGACCATTTTAATTATGATTATCCATAATTTACAGTTTACACCACTCATATCTATGACTTTCAGTGTTATTGACATATCAGGTTTTGCTCATTCTGCAGGTATATGTCAAAAAGTTTGATAGTTTAAGTTTGAAACACCGTTTAACATCGCTATATGGTTATTTTCATTTATGTTCGAGATGTATCAAGCTTCTTGCTTCTAATTTTATGTCCATTTTATATACATATAAAGTATCAGTGGCATTAATTAATTTAGTCATATCATCTTTTGCATCTCAAGCTTGACTGATGATCCAGTGCTAGTAGTATTAAAGAAAGAAGGGTATGTGAAATAAATAAATATAAGGGGTTGGATCCAAAGATTTGTCCTACAAACAGAAGGGCCTTTTGTGAGCAGAACTTCCATTCACTAAATGGAACAGCTGGATCCCAACCAAAGTAAAAGGGCAAGACAAAGCAGGCAAATATAAAATTCACCAAGTCAACTTCATTAAAAAGCTGCCTCAAGCTGAAAGGAACATTAAGTAGTTATAACTCTTAAGTGTTTTGTCCTTTTGGTTTTATTGGAGTTTTATGTTGATTTTCATATTTTATATGTTTATTGATGATCTCAAGCAGTATATTTTATGTATATGGCTTTGCTAAACTGCCTAAAGGAGACATCTGATCTGCCACACATAAATTAAGCTATCATAATGGTAATCTAACTGAAGTCTTTCTACTTAAAGACAAAGAGAGAGAAAACTGTTCCTGCATTTCAGACATACTGGATGCCTTGATAGATTAAATCATGGAAATATGAGTAAAAAGCTATGTGTTTAATAGAAAATAGAGCCACAAAACCAAGTTTTGTTGTTTTAGCTATTTTCTGAAGGGGCCTGCAATAACATATTCAAATCTGAAATTAAAAAAAATATGAAGGAAGAACTGACATATTTTGTCAAGGATATTTGACATCTGGCTGTGCAACTCAGTGTTGTTTTTCTGTTTATTTTTTTAAAACCACCTTTGGAATTTTTGGTATTATAAATGATTTCTGCCCATAAAGCAGCAATCTGGACATTACTTCTACAAATAATATGTCTCTCACATAGCAAACCAATGAAAACTGGAATGATACTTATTCCTTTACAGGGAGCTACAAGATCACTATCATATTTTCAGTATATGATTAATACACATCTCCAACCAAAATACAAAGCAGACCCACTCCTAAGGCTTTTGATACAAGCAAAATTAGCAACATAGCATGTATACATCTTAAATTAAAAGCACACCTTTTCTCAGCTGTTTTAGAAGAGTCTCCAACTTCTGCTGGCCAGATTTGAATCGATCACTCAAAGAGTTAAGGCTGTCCTGAAGGAAGTCTGGAGCAGCAGACTGAGATGAGAGCATTTTACACTTGGCTTTAAGGTCTTCCATTTGAGGTGTCAGACTTACCAGGTGAGTGAGTTCCCTCTGCGCAAATGAATTACATACACACAGGAAAAGATTAAAATTATTTCATACTATTAATTTTCTCAATAACTTTATCTTACTAGTGTAAGTTCAGCTCATGTGATTGTGTTTTGCCTCTGCAGCAATGAACAAGTAAATTACCTGACATGACTCCTTTAGAGTTATCAAAGGTTGTTGCTGAGGTGATGTAGTAGAGTTGTCTTTCAGCCATAATTCTTTTTCACTTACAGTCTTATCAAGTTCATCCAATTCCTTAAAATAAATGTTTACTTCATTCTGGTATTGCATTTTTCTTGTTGCTTCTTCCAATTGCAGATCTGCCTCTTTCCACTCTGCCAACAGCTGCTCGAATGCATTTGTTATGGTTTCGGCAGGATGACCTTCTGAACAATTGAAAGAAATAAATCTGTTTTGATATGTAGCATATGTTAATATAATTTTGTTCTTCTTTTAGCTGTTTGGGAGCTGACCGCCCATACCAAGGCTGAGCTCAACGAAAAGGAAAGCTTCCTCATCAATTGCTTTCAAACGATAGTACACATGAAATTGTTTCTCCTCACACAATCTCCATTAAAATATTCCTATATCGAATACACACACACATATACATACATACACATACACATTATAACCATCACCTGATCCTTAATTTTGGTTTTACCTCCCTAGTGATCTTGCAAAAAAAAAAAAGGACAGAAAGCAAACTATAAAATAATCAGTTCAAAACTGCACCTTTGCATATGTGTTTTTAATACATTTAAAATCTAAATTTATATAATAGCCAAGAGAAGAAAAACAGAACTGGAAGACAGGAGCAGTCAACCATGCTAAAGTAATATATACAACCTACACAAAGCTTCCAGCTTATTAATACCACTTATTAAATTAGGAGCATTTTGGGCTCGCGCTCGTGTGTGAGTGTGAGTGAGGGGGGAGCGAGGCCGAGGCTGGGAGTGACTGACTGGCTCCTTTGCGGAAGTGGGTGGCTTCACTCCCCCCGCCCCCCCTCCTCCCTCTCCTCCTCCGGTCCTCTGAGTGGAAGGAAAGAAGGAAGGAAAGAAGGAGGCGAGCCAGTCCCGCGGGCGCCTCGGCCGCACCTTCTTTTCCCTCCGCGCCACCGTCGCCGCCGCCGCTCGACCCAGGAAGGAGGATGGCAGGGCGGCTCCCGGCCTGCGTGGTGGACTGTGGCACCAGGTATACTAAACTGGGATATGCTGGAAATACAGAGCCACAGTTCATCATCCCTTCATGTATTGCTATCAAGGAATCGGCTAAAGTTGTCGATCAAGCACAAAGAAGAGTTATGAAAGGTGTAGACGATCTAGATTTCTTTATTGGGGATGAAGCAATAGAAAAACCAACATATGCAACAAAGTGGCCCATTTGTCATGGTATAGTTGAAGACTGGGACTTGATGGAAAGGTTTATGGAACAAGTTATCTTCAAGTATTTAAGGGCAGAACCTGAAGATCATTATTTTCTGTTGACTGAACCTCCTCTAAATACTCCAGAAAATAGAGAATATACTGCTGAAATCATGTTTGAGTCCTTCAATGTTCCTGGGCTTTACATTGCTGTTCAGGCTATCCTTGCCTTAACTGCATCTTGGACATCCAGACAAGTAGGAGAGCGAACACTAACTGGGACAGTTATAGACAGTGGAGATGGTGTCACGCATGTCATTCCTGTGGCTGAAGGTTATGTGATCGGCAGCTGTATCAAACATATTCCAATTGCAGGACGAGATATAACTTACTTTATTCAACAATTGCTAAGAGAGCGAGAAGTAGGAATCCCTCCTGAACAATCATTGGAAACTGCTAAAGCAGTGAAGGAACGCTTTAGTTATGTGTGCCCTGATTTAGTAAAAGAATTTAACAAGTATAATGCAGATGGCACCAAGTGGATTAAACAATATACTGGAATCAATGCAATCTCCAAGAAAGAATTTACCATTGATGTTGGGTATGAGAGATTCTTGGGGCCAGAGATCTTCTTTCACCCTGAGTTTGCTAATCCAGATTTCACACAGCCTATCTCCGAAGTAGTAGATGAAGTTATTCAGAATTGTCCCATTGACGTTAGACGTCCACTATATAAGAATATTGTTCTCTCTGGAGGCTCAACAATGTTCAGGGATTTTGGCCGTCGTTTACGAGACCTGAAAAGGACTGTTGACGCTAGACTGAAACTCAGTGAGGAACTGAGTGGCGGAAGACTGAAGCCCAAGCCTATTGATGTACAAGTTATAACACACCATATGCAAAGATACGCTGTTTGGTTTGGAGGATCCATGCTGGCTTCCACACCTGAGTTCTACCAAGTATGCCACACCAAAAAAGATTATGAAGAAATTGGTCCTAGCATCTGTCGTCACAACCCAGTTTTTGGAGTTATGTCTTAAATCATGGAAGAGTCAGATCTGGTGAGGCAGGGAGATGGTCTTTCTAAATACTTATTTGTCTGGATAACTGATATTAAGATAACAAAACATGACTTGAAAATAAGAAGAAAAAGACCAAACACAATTAAACAGGAATATTTTAATAAGTGTCTCAACATGCAGATGTAGTGGGAAGCCGAAATGATTCAAAGTGTTTTTTTTCTTTTGATTGAATATTTGAACCTGTGCGTAAACAAAACAAAAGAAGTGGGTTTTTGTTCTTTCTGTGCCCTGATATTTTGTACATTAATGGAATATCCAAGATTTGATGGAATTTGATGGTGTGTATATAGTCAGCTCTATAATTCTTCAGTTGTACTCTTGATGTGTACACTGCAAGAGCTTGTTTATATTTCATACTTTTTATACGTTGAGAAAAATATCAGTGAATGAAAGAAATGTAATATTTGACAAGAAAAATACCAGTGACCAATCTGAGGTAAATTGTAAGAAAATTAGGCCCACATGAATATTAATCATGTGACACTCTAGTAATGATCATGTGACACTCTAGTAACTTCAGTTATGACCAATCTTAAACTTGGGTTCCACACACAATGCAACTTGGCAAGTGCTTGTGGAACTAAGGAGCTAGTATCTTGGATTAATTGATGCCTGCTAGTGCTTTCTGATTACTCGGTGCATTTTCATTCTATTTCTTGCTTTGGAAATTAGGAAAGAGCATCATGCTCATGCTCCCTCAACTTACACACCTGCTTTGGGTTTTGTATCATGGCTATGTTTAACATGATTTTCCTATTATTTTAAATTTTAGATTAAACATTTCCCGTTTCAGACATAGCCATGATAAAAGAGTGAAGTTGGGACACAAAGGTTCTAAAAAAGGATCTTACAGTTGAATAGCCATTCCCAGCTTATCAGACCAATAGTGGATTTCTACTGGCAAACCAGCAGAATCCAGCAGGACCAAGTGGCACAATCTCCACTATGCACCCCCCACCATCAGGTCTGGAATACTAGGAAATATCCAGGATGATATTTCCAGAACACTGGATTTAGTGGACATTAATAAGTCATTATATTTTAACTACCCCAGTAAGATGCAGAAAATTATAATCAACCCTCAGGAAGAACAAGAACACATAAATCTCCTCCATACCCATCACTGCTATGTAAGTGAATTCTTCATACCAGACAATAGTCTGGGAGGCACATGAAGACATTCAGGAATCAATCCCAGTAAATAACTTGACATCTCGTAATGCCTATACATTAAATAGTCTTGCTGCATAAGTATCACCTAAGCAGGCTGCTCCACCTTGCTTCATGAATGAAATCTGGACATGAGCATGAATTAAATCTACAACCCAGGTAGACAATTTCCAGAATGCATCAAAAGCAAAACTAAGAATTATGCTTCCATGACTGGGTTTTTTTTTCATGATCCCTATGTATTCACTGATTTAAGGAATATATAGAGATGGTTAAAATTCCCTAATTACTTACTGGGCAAAAGCCACATTAATCAACAGTGGTCTGTCCTCCTATCGGGAAGTAAACTTGTCTCACATAAGCAATCTCTGGTGTAAGGTGAGATTGTCGTAGGAGAACCCTAAACCTGCCTGTTGGAATGGAAATTGCTCATGGGAGGGGATAAAAGTGCCAGTCAGCCACTTTCGGACCAACAGAGGGGGAGTGAGTTACCGAGAAATACTACAATACTGCATCCTACAGTAGATAGTTACATAGCTGATGGACAATTCTGGCCTATTATTATTACTACTACTACTACTACTACTACTACTATGTTTATATACTTTTTACTTTTTTTTACTTTTTCTCTCCCTAAGGTGACTCAAAGCAGCTAACATTAAAAGCATTACAATACCTTTTAAAATACACAAATATTAAAAAAGTATTAAATGTCATTAGTATTAAAAATAATTCAGGTTAAATCCATCAAAACATATAAAACCACAGCAGCCTCTGCAGATCTTAAAAACCTTTTTTTAAAGCCTGTCTGAATAAAAAGGTAAAAACAGTAAAAATAAAAAATAATACAATCATTTAGGATTAAAATGCAATACAGTAACTTTGTTTCATTGTGATACTAATTATTTACATGCACAAAGATCATATTGTTTTTGTGGCCTAGTCTCATTCAATAAAAAACTAAGATTTTCATTTCATCCACTTAAAACCTGTGCCAATATAAACTTCAACCACCCTCAGCTTTAAAGATATTTATCGTTTCTAGCAACTTCTAATATTGGCAAGAGAACCATATAAAACATTTATGTTTATCTTTTAAATTCCATAACAAATTACCTTTTCCCATTTGGTCCAGAAAATTTTGTACAGTTTGTTTTAGGTCATTTAGGATTTTCTTTTTTTCAGACCTTTCTTTTTCTATTGCCTATTATTGAATCAAAAAAATAAAAACAAAAAAAAAAGACCTGGTTAAACTTTTAACATATGCTCCCACAAGTTTATTTAATCTAATAAAATAATAATGCATGCTTCTAGCCTTATGCATATTTACTTGGATAGCATCTCTACTGAGTTGTTTTACTTTTGAGTAAACAAGTAATTAATATGTGAATATGATGAAGTCACATTACTTTACTGATCACACTTTCGTTGAGCATGCACATCACAATCTAAAATTAATTACATGTCAGTATGTAGATCACTCAATATTTCACATCATTTTTAGTGAATTATTGATTATTTGGTCTCTACCCTCACCTACTTATGCTTTTCATTTGATCTTTGTCTTCTTTGAACCGAAAAGGAAATCATGCTGGCAAGATCAAGTTTTTGAATAGTAACATAATCAGGACCACAGATGGCAAGCTCTTCTGATTCACTGAAACGGGTACATTAAACTAAGCACCTCAAATTCACTGGCATTACTTTCTGTATATTACTGAATTTAAAGAGTGTTGCAACAAGTTGTCTCTTTGGCAGCATTTCAGTTTGCAGTCTTTCAAAAATATATCTACTACTTTAAATATTGGAGTTTAATGTAGTAGATATAGACAAAGTGATTGTTTTATTAAGAGCACAACATTAAGTCTTTAAGATAAAATTGTGTGTATTTTAAGAGAACCAATACAAAGTATTAAAAATCTAATGGAGACAATTAATAGGTATGGAAATATCTCAGGATTTAAAATCAATAAAGAGAAATTATATTTTTAACCAAAAACATATAATAATAATGACTTCATTCTTATATCCTGCCACCATCTCCCCGAAGGGACTCGGGGCGTCTTACATGGGGACCAAACTCAACAGAAACAGAGTAAAATATAGCACAATTAAAATACATTGCATTTCAATAACTGAAACAATAAAACTGAACAACAGACATCATAAAAATGTAACAACAACAATAACTATCAACCAGTAGCTAAGAACAATGGACATATTCAGATCTAAGAAGGCAGGACAGGGGCTAGTGCAATATGGCTGTAAGGGTGGGACAGTTAATAAAACGCTACAAGGCCAAAAAATGAGTTAGGACTAGGGGGGCCTAGTCAATAGATGAACCGATTTTTAAATTGGAGAAATTACCAGCATATAAGGTTGTGTTGAAAGTAAAATATTTATGGCTAACCAATAAAATATTAACGCATAATTAACCTATAATTATGAGAGAGTTTGGAAGGAGGTAAAAAAATTAGATAGATGATAAAGAATCCAACTAACTTGGATAGGGAGGATAGCACTGATAAAAATGATTGTATTAACCAAAATGTTATTTTTATTTCAAAATTTACCAATTATTAAAGGAATAAAGATTTTGAACAATGGAGGAAGGATTTGGTGAATTTTATATGTGCAGGTAAAAAAAACCAGAATAGTATATAGAAATTTGATAGATGCAAAAGACATCTATCTAAGTATTCTAAGTATTTGGCACTATCAGATCTTAGATATTATTTTGAAGCAGCAGCTTTTAGTTGATTATAGGAATTGATAAAATTAGATAATCATTCTCTACTTAACATAGAGGGTTATAATTTAAGACTCGGGTGGCATACCTATCGTTGGTATGAAAAAGGTAAGATACATCAAGATTTCAATAGACACATATTAATATTGAATCTGTTATATACTTGGAAGAGATGTAAGGGAGGAAGGGAACTGAAAATTCCTTTATTGTTATGCCCATCAGAAGCGCCCATAAGGCCCATCCAGCAGATAACAAGCTTAAGCTGACATAACAAATCATGAAATAAGATCTTACAGAGAGAATCTGTTTAAAGAAAAAGATTAATGGAAATTAAAAGGGAGAGAAGAGTTAGGTATCAATTATTGGGTCCAGTATCATCAATTATATGATTGATTTATGAAAGATGTTAGAGTAGGTTTTCAGAAACAAAATCTAAGCTGGAGAGCATGTGCCATCACACCCAGACACTATAACGTTAAAACTAAGATGTGCTTCTCTCTTTATCTGGGCGAACTGCTGGGGGTCTTTCTTTGAAGCAATAACTCATACTTTCAGCAACTGATGCCAGTCAAGATATGAACATCAACAAAACATTTATTTCAAAAGTCTTTGGCAGACTTGGCACAGCTTGACAAAGTTACAACACAAACAGTCAATTTGGGAAACCATAGAGATGTTCTTTCTTTTCCTTCAATTACTGAGGTAACCTTTCTCCAAATGGTAGAAACAATCCTGGGATATTTCACCCTAACGCTGAGCTGCTATGGCTAGAAAGAACAGGTCTTCCCCTATCTAAGCACAAGGTTAGTTTTGGAGATGAAGTAATGCTCAATAGTATTCAATAATTATTTCTCTCTATTTCTTAAATACTCAATTACTCAATTCCTATTCTAGCTATCTATCTCAGTATCTCAATTGCCTATCTATCTATCTATCTATCTATCTATCATCTATCTATCTATCTATCTATCTATCTATCTATCTATCTATCTATCTCAATTTCTCAATTTTACTCACAATGACCTTTCAGAGCTTTGCCTGTCTGACCAACAGCACATCTGAGTCTTTTTTCTCTACTGAAGGAGGCAGGGGAGATTCCAAAATGGAGATCTCAACCCCAGGAAAAAGGGCGGACTCCAAACCCAAAGAGATACTTTCTAAACCAATAACTGCAGAGAGCCTGCAGCCTGGATTTCTGGACTCTGTTCTGTTTAACTTCCAGGGTGCTGCTGGGTCTATAGCAACCCTGGGGAAATGCAAAGGAATGCTATCCCATGCAGCTAAAAGGCAACGTAAACCATGCTCCTGGAAGACTGAACAGAGAATTTTTGATAAGGGGAATAAGGGTTTAGTTTCCAGATTGTCTAAATATATTTAAGAGTATAATCTACAAGATAATAGAATAAAAATCAATTATGATTTCTTGGGACAAAGATTTAGGGAAAATATAGATTTAGAAAATTGGGAGTGTCTCTGAAAAACGGTATTTAAAATTTCAATATCAGGTTCTTTTAGTAAAATACAGAAATGTGTCTTTTGGGACTATTTAGAAAGGCAGTAAGCCAAAGTGATAAAGAAATTTGTCAATACAGCTTTGTAGCAGCTAGAATGATAATACATAAATCCTGGAAGGGTGAAAAGGAGCTATCTAAGAAAGATTGGAGATAAATGTTTTTAGAATATATACAAATGGCCAATCTGCCTAAGGGACTTTGAAGTGAAAATAATGTAGAGTTTGCAAATAAATGGAGACTGGCTTTTGTTTATTTTGAAAGAAAGGCAAAGGTGGATTTTATGGAAGTTTTAAGGAGAATATTTTAAGGAATTTTACAAGGGTAGGTGTTATGTGGCATAATTATCAAGTGATTGGCAACGGAAGTCCTAGGTGCTGGACTCACAGGTGTTGGAAAGGAAGGATAGATTAGTTTGTTGTGTTTGTTATTACTGTATTTTGTTTATTTTGTCTGTAATTGCTTGTATTAATTGTAATTGCTATTTCATTTTTATATAAATTAAAAAATGAAAAATGATAAAAAGATTAAATGCATTGCAAGTTGTTTTGTCCAAACATCTACAATTCTATTAGAACCTACAACATATACAATCTATTTCACACAAGACGTTCTTTCAGATCAGTCTTTAGTGGTGGGGTTACTTGGGCTATAAAGTCAGCCCATAAACACATTACCAAGATTCTAATTATTTAAGTCAAAGAATACTTTGATCATTAGTCTCCCTGGGGCATACAAAAAGGTTATTAGTTTTCTCTATGGGATGATATCAAGACTTCATCACAGCTCTCAGTTTTACTGAAAGATTAAGTGGGTTCCTGCAGGGTTCATTTCTAAGAGTAATTTTTGTCCAAGATGCAGCACCTTGCACTAAACTGAAGAGAGAAATGAACACAGAGGAGATACACAGAGTGAAGATGCCCATTAAACCTCTTAGCACAACCTACTACAACTACAATAGCACTGCTTATGGCCAATCCGGGAGAGCGATGTTTGATGAACACTTTACAAATGTTTAATAGTGGAACCTAATCCACAAGAAGCTTCAAGATCAAGCTCTACCCCCAGCGGATAACAAGCTTAAGCTGACAAAATAACCCATTCACTGAAAATGCTTTCCCATTTCTCACTTTACCTTTAGCTTCTCTTTCATGTCCAAAGTCTCTCTCATCTTCTTGTACTCTTTGATCTCTGTGGCCTGAATAGCAGCTTTTGATTTCAAAATCCAGCTCAACAGCTCAGCAATTTCAAAATCAAGTCTAACGTAAGAGATTGAATAATATTGTCAGTCATGTCTCTCTTCAATCATTTCATTCCTCTTTATCTAGATATACCAAGTTCAGTATATACTCAGTGTTCTAATAGTGCAGTCTTAGTCAAACCTGAACAGAATCACATCTTGGATGATTCAGAAGATTTTCAGCAAAATTGTAAACCTATGGTACTTTTTTCAAACTCTAAACAAGGAGACATAAACTACTATTATGAACACTTCTCTAGTCAGAGAACACTATTTGAAAACAGTTACTTTACATATTATAGTTATTGGAGCCAAAGCCATTAGTTTGTGGATTCTGGATGTTGTAGTTCAAACAGCAATTTTACAAGTTCTGTTACAGCCTGGCCTGAAAGTATATATGCAATAGCTCTGAATCATAATACATTATGGCCCCCATTGTTCACATCCAACAAAAATATCCTCTCAAGGTATAATTCTAGGTCCAGAAATATCATTCTATAATATCCTTGGGCCAGAAATCCTTCATTTCAATATGTATTTTATGTAAATATGTTTTAATATGTGTATCTTACAGAGTGTTTTTAAATGATTCTGTGTTTTGATTATGTGTTTTAGCAATGCTGTAATCTGCCTCGAGCCATGAGGAGAGGCGGGTAAGAAATATTATTATTATTATTATTATTATTATTATTATTATTATTTAAATAGAGTTTACTATCATGTGTGATTTCATGTAAAGTCCAGGAACAAGATACATTGCAGACACTGCACTATACACATCAATAATAGTGATCTGCCCTGTTTCCCTTCTCCATAATAGCACATTGGATTACTACAGCTGTTGATCCTCCCATTCATTATCTCAGCAAACATGTGAAAAGGGGCAACGCTCTGAAGCCTAATGGAGCCACACAAATGGAAGCCATGAAAGAAAAAGAGATTACAAATGTTTACAAGTAGTGGCTTCCTCGTTGTCTTGGCGTCATCACTGACAGTCCTTTTTTGCAAGGTTGCTTTTAACCAAAGTCCAAAGTATGAATCTATAAAATCTAATGTCATTTTCCATGAAGAGTTCTACAATAACATCCCAACCATATCTGAAAATGCAGGATTTTAAATACTGCAAATATGAGCATGAATAGTGAAAAAACTGAGAGATGACTAAGAAATCATAACTGAAATTATTCTTACTTTTTCTTCATTTCAGTATCCAGATAGTTTTCTTTTCTCTTTGTTGGAGGTATGGGTGGAGGAGACTGTTCTTCTCTGGAGAGTTTAACTGTTTTCTGTTCTTTAACAAGAGCTGTTTCTGTGCTGAACTTCTGTGCAATCTGGGATATCCCAACATTTGCAGCTGCTTGAGCAACCTAAAAAGAACACAATTATCCAAAGCTAGCTTTGATCCAATGAAATTATACAATAATTTGAAAGAATCAGTAACATTTCTGTATAAAAACAAAAGTGGTAAATAGCTATATTTTCACATAATAATAAACTATAATAGCCCAAGTCAAAACACTTAGTCCCTACTATCACCACTTCTTGCACCCATCTAGGATGGAATTATCAGTTTATTGTCAGTTTCTCTTAAATTCAGGCTGTTGTGCACAGATTGAGGTTCATTATTTATCACAAACTCTGTTCTGTTTCCAAAGTTATCTGCTTCAAACTACAGCTTATCCAACTAGCTTGTTGAAATAACTAGAACTTATGATGAACCATGACATTTCATTTGTACACAACAATAAAACCAAGATTAAGGAAAATTCTGCCATTCTAAATGAAGGAAGGAGGGAAGTCATGGCTTTGATCCTGTTTGCACTTCTAAACAAGTAGGGAACAACTGGTGGCCCACAGGATAGCTGCATCTCAAAGCTCTTATTGTGGGCCTCCCATATTCCCAGGCAGAAGGACTCTGCAACCTGCCACCAGTGCTCCTTGAAAGGAAAATTCAATTTGATGGGGGGGAAAGGATTAAGGGGAAGCCTGTAATGACACATGCCACCCCAGTAAGCTAAAAAAAAGCACCCTAAATGGCACACCATTCAATTATCTTTCTACTCGGCTTCAATGGGCCCCTTAGCACTCGGGTGAATGGACCAGGTGACTACATTTTAGGTAATTTTAGTTTGAGGTAAGAAATATCTGGAGGTGCATCTATACCAGGAGTGGAAAAACTGAGCCCCTTGGCAACATATGACACCTAAGTCCCACTTCTGCAGCACCTGAAACCTCTGGTTTTTCCCCCCAAGTTACCAAGCCCCCACATCTCACATTTTTCAGGATCAATAATAGAGAAAAGAATTGAATGCAGAAAAGTCCTGCTTCAAAACACAACTGTTTTCCTACCTAGAACCTGCAACCTCCTCAAAAAGATGTTTTCACAATTTCTATTGCAATACAACATTGCAGTTTATTCTGCAGGCAAAACTTGCCCCCTGCCTTCTACACAATTGATCATACGTGCGCTATACCAATTTGCAATGAAACATTAAACAATCGTCAAACAGTACAATAAAACTTCAAATAAAAATCACTTATTAAACAACAGGGATTTTTTTTTGAAAAAAAAACCTATTTTTAAAATCAATAAAAACTTAGCAGAATAAACAATTAGACTAAAAAAAATGAACTCCATAGCAAAAACTTCTCTTGCAAGAATTTCAGAAATGACTAACTGGAGGATATAGGGAGTCATCGATCACAAAAGGTTCTGGGGAAATACTTTTTTCTTCTCAAATAAAACTGAAGAAGTATTTCACTGACATAAAAAAGATTTACCCCTCCCAGAAGAGTGAAGTGTTTCTGCATGGTTCCTTGATTTGGATGTATTTCCTTATGGAAAACAATGGGATCGACAGTATCTTCTAAAGGGGGTAACATTGCTATTTGTTTGATCAAAGGAATCACAATTGCTTCAGAATGCAGACCACAGCAAAGCCTGGCTGAAAGGAGGTTAAGGCCAGAATATTGATTTATTTATTTTTTTGGGCAGGGGTATAATTTGTAGTCAAACTATATTCTTCGTCACCATGCACATACTTTGATTTAACAATGATTGACTGAAGGAGGCTGCCCACTGTGCCCAAGCAGCCTCCATAAAGCTGCTTAAGGCCGCGCCAAGCAGCGGGCCTTTCTGCTGCATCTTTAGTTCCCTTGTTGTACTTCCTCCATATTTCCTATATATTTTTCAAGGTAGGAAGACTAACATGGAACAAACTGGGTTGCTGTGCGTTTTTCAGCCATGAAAGCCTTTGACAACACATGTAACAAGTTGTTCTAAATATAAAACTTCCATACTGACTCTAAAATGTATGCCTTTGAATACTGAGTGAAAAGTGTTCAATTTCTTTTGGGACAACTTCAACCCCATAAATGTTAAAACATTTAAAAGGAAAGTATTTTAAAAACACACATTTCAACTTTGCACGAATTTAGACTGAATACTCAATCTCATGTGCTACTTTGAAGTTTGAAGGGTTTCTTCTGAAACACTTCATAAACCTCTTCAAACACTATTTAACTTTTCTCCACATCTAGGCTTTGGTACTCAAGAAGTAAGGACCAATTTATTCCACATTGGTACAAAGAAATAGATTTTTAAAACCACTGAGATTCCAAATCCTCTCTTAACAAATTTGTTAAGGTTAACGTCTACATTTTAGTGAAAGATATTTGGAAGCCATACAAGGAAGATAGTATTTTTATGGTACCTGGTTAGAGTAATCCTCAAGTTTCTGAACTAAACTGTCCCACCGTTGTGTTAGTTCTTCCAAATCACTGTCAATGTTCTTCAATGCCTTCTTGTTGTTTAGGAGCTGTGTGACATCCTGGGCCACCTCATTTACTTGCTCTAATGTTTGGCGCTTCATTCCCATATCCTCTTTCAGAATCTGACAATGAAACAATAGTAGCCATTACCTTTTGGAGAAATTTATTTCATACAAATTTCCTAAGCTAACAACCCCAATGTTCCTAGGAAGGAAAACACCTAATAATAAATGCATGTCACACCATTGAACTGAAACAAAGAAAACAATGTTGGCGTAAGCATCCACAACAGCTGCATTAGTGGGTATTTATTTTTATGTCTGCTAAAATCTTGGTTTCCACTGAAAATTGGCAAGAGCTTTCCCTAATATGTGTACCTATATAACATTTCTATCGTGTAGCTGCTGTTATAATCCAGCAGTCCTAGTGCATTCCCATAAGTTCTCAGTAACAGTTGCAACAGTTGCAGGAGCCCCCGGTGGCACAATGGATTAAACCCTTGTGCTGGCAGGACTGAAGACCGGCAGGTCGCAGGTTCGAATCCGGGGACAGCGCAGATGAGCTCCCCATGCAGGGACATGAGAGAAGTCTCCCATAAGGATGGTAAAACACTGAAAACATCCGGGCATCCCCTGGGCAACGTCCTTGCAGATGGCCAATTCTCTCACACCAAAAGCGATTTGCAGTTTCTCAAGTCACTCCTAACATGAAAAAATGGTTGCAACTGCTTCAATACCTCAGAGAGCATTTAATCATGACTCGTGCATGCAGCAGACTTGGGAAACTCCAGGAAATGCAGTTTCCATCATGCATCTCATTTTCTCCCTTTTCTGCAAAAGAATAATATCCACATATTTGTGGCTTGGTTTGTTGCCATTTTGACTGCTTTTTTTTTAAGTAACATTTTCAATTTGTTCCCTATCTAACAGATTTTCAAAAGCTGACCAGTCACTTGTCCTTCAAAACAAAAGAGCTGAGTGTATTGTAGTTTTCACACTGCATTCTTCAGTCTCAGATACAACCCAAGAGAATTCTTCCATGTCTTTAGAAAGTAATTTAAGAACTTGCTGGACCATGAAATTAGTACAAGGATGGGACAAGGATGATCCTCCGGCACTGCAAAGATGGTAAGTTGGCACCAGGACAAATATTTAAGATTACAACGCTATCTTGGAATGCAAAGCAAGTAATACTCACTGCCAGCTTTCTGACATTCACACCAAGCTCTTTTTGATCTTTGAAGTTCCTGGTTTGTACTTTGTTTAAAGCCTCCTCTTTTTCAATTAGCCAGGCCTTCAATAAGCTCTGCACAGAGGGAAACAAGCATACCACAGAAATATTTACACATTTTATTAATCACTACCATTGCCATGGAACATTAATTTCAATAGTGTTTTGGAATTAAACCAGTGCTTTGGTTTGTCTTGTTGTCCTTAGTTACAGCAAAGCAAGGCGAAAGGCTATCTTCTGTTTCCCACCACACTTTGTGTCATGCTGCTTCTACAATTCTGTAGAAATAACTTAGTGGGATGGAATCTACATGCTCTGTGGCTAGAAATTCATATGCTAGTATGCCGGATTATGCAATGAACTCGGTTCGGTTTCATAATCACTGCCAAAGTAATGGCACAAAATTCTGCGTTCAAGAAGTGGGAGAGTTTTCAAGCAAAATTTAAGATAACAGCAGCTATTTTTTCCACATTTCTATTGTGATACATGTTTAACTTGCTGAAAGTCCACCTCCCTTCTTCCACTGAATCTTTATCACCAGTCCTTGTTTCCACAACAAGTCAAATTTTTCAAAATCCAATTCTCACAGGGTCAGAAAGTGAGGTAAGATCTTCTGAACAGGGGCGCCGACAACAAAACAAATACTATGGGGCTGTTAGCCCTTTGCTATGCTATCCAAAACTTATACATGGCTGGACTTAAACTTTAAAAATCTACCTGTTCCAACTTTCATACAAATTCAGCTTAAGAACAAACCTACAGAACTCATCTTGTTCGTAACATGGGGACTGTCTATAGCCAGAAAAAAAGGATGTTTGCACACTCTAGCAAGTATGATGAGAAGTTTCTTCACAATACAACTAAAACTTATGGAGGAGGAGAGGATGTTCAAGTTTTCTTTCCATGCCTGTTTTTAATCCTGTTAATTAGCAGGTCTCCCCCTTAGCTATTCATAATTAGCATTTTTTTAAATTTGCACGTTAAATGGAAAACTAAATTTAACCTCGGATCTAGTTTGGCAAGCTGATGGAGCAGAATAGCAAGATAAGCAACAAGCTTCTTATTGTGCTTGTAGGACCTCAGTAGCATTTAGTTAAGTGCCATGGGAAAGTGAATACTGCACTAGTGGTATCTATTAGAGCTCTTATTTGTTTGTTTATTTATTCATTCATTCATCATCACAACCCTAAGGAATCAATCATTACACGAACAATCCTATATGCTAGGATGAAATTGAAATACATCTTAGATTCAATTTAATATAATTCTAGCAGACAATACGTATTACCAAAAATATTTTCCTCAGTATAATTTAGCAAATTGTATTCAAGCAATTCCAAAAATACAATTAAATTCTCAAATTACCTGAAGCAAATTATTGTAGAACTCAATTGCACATTTACTATAAACAAATAAATAAAATCTGAACATCTCAAAAGGACTTCATCATGGTACATATTTATACTCCTCTAAGAGTGGCAGCTGACAAAAAGCCATAGGAAATGTCAGCGCCTTCCCTAAAATAATACCAAGTGATAAACTGATAGGTATGTGTGAAGATTTACTCAACTCAGTGTAGTTTAATGATATTTATATACCCATAAAACAGCATAACTTATTCCCTATAACTTGTCTTGACAAAGCAAAATCTTCTGAATATTTTTAACTCAGAAAACTAATCAGAACCTCAATCTATATTTATCAACAAAACAGTATTTCTAAAAGTATGCTTCTTTTGATGAAGTAGTTTTCCTACTTCAGATGGAAACTATGATTTATTTCTGAACTAGTTTGGAGCAGTTAAGGTACAGCTGCACACATTCTGTGCCAAACAAGAATAAAGTATGCAGTAGAAAATAATTTGCTGTATAGTTGGGAATATGTAAATAATGTAAAATAGGCTTATTTTAATATAAAATAAATTTTTCTTCGTGGTCTCTGCGAATGCACACTTGTGGAGAGACTGCGCCTGCGCGGGCTCCAACGGAAACTTCTATATTTCAAACTTTTCAAGTTTTGGCGGTAACCCCGCCCAGCCCCGGCAGGGGATAAAAGGGCGCCCCGCGCACACCGATCCAATTCCTTTTTTTCCGCCGCACGGCTCGCTTCGGTACTTCGATTGTTGGATTGTGATTCTTCGTAGATATTTGCCTCAAGTTGTTTGACAGTATTATGTCAACGACTCGCTTCAAAAGATGCGCGAATTGTCCGAGGAAGATCCCTGATTCGGACAAGCACGCTCTTTGCCTTTTGTGCCTCGGAGAGGCGCACATCACTTCTTCGTGTCATCATTGTCAGTCTTTGACGGCACAGTCCCGTAAGAATCGGGTTCATCAACTTCGGTACCTTCTGTACCAACAGACGTTGGCACCGGTACCTTCAACATCAACTTCGGCGTCGACGTCAGCTGCGGTACCCAGGCCATCGACGTCAGCTACGGTATCCAGGCCATCGACATCATCAGAGCCTGTCGATCTCTCGACGGAGGTCGAGCCTCGCCAGACAAGGGCGAAGAAGGCAGCACAGAAGAGGCCGAGA